AGGAAAAGATGGGAACATCCCCTGAGAGAAGACGGGAACAACCCAGGAGAAAAGCTGGGAGCATCCCCAGAGGAATTCTGCCAGGGAAAGGCTCCAGGGAAAAGGAACAGGGAAGAATCCACGCATTTTTCCCTTCCCATGGAATCATTTCCATCCAAACTCTGTCCTCTTGGGGATTATTCCCAGGTAAGCTGCTCCAAGGTAAGTCCTGAATTCTTTAAGTTTTCATGGAGGTGTTGGATAATATTTTTTTTCTTGCTTCAGAGGTGATTCCATATAATCCAGTATAATCCTTGGAAGTGTTTTCTTTCATTCCAGGTCTGCATCCCGTGGCTCCAGGAGAAGTCCTTGGTTTGCAGGCAGTGTAGTTAGCTGATTGTCTCCATCAGCCCACAATCACTAACATCACTGCCATCAAAACAAGGCACAGCATTCCCTGCTCCAGGAAACTCCCAGCTCCCTTTTTCCTACTGCAAAGTCATGAATAATGGGATTTATCTGCACCTTCGTTTCCAGAGTTTTACCTGCCCACAGCAGTGTTAGTAATTTGAAGTGAAATCTTGGATTTCTTGAAGTTGGTGCTGAAATCCTCAGGAATTTTCCTGGGCCAAGAATCCTGTCTGGTTTTAAATTATTAATTTACTGTATACTTAATTTTTAACACACACAGACTGGACTATGAATTTTTTAGGTTGCATCCTTCAGCTTCTCTGCCAGATATCAACAATTTTCTTTTTTTTCTTTTTTTTTTTTTTTAATGTTTTATTAAGCAAGGTAAGTGAAGGGAGTTTTGAGCAATGCTTATACTCAAATGCAATGTGGTGCTGCATAATAATTTGTATTTTAGTGTTTAATTGCTTTGCCTTTGCACTCTTGAAATGGTCTTTGTGTTGTGTCCACTGCAGTTTTTATAAGTAAAAACCCCTAAAATGTGGAGTGGATATTAAACTGGCTGGAGGTATAATTACCACTTAGCTTAACGGAGAATTTTAATTGGAGAAAATAATGATTAATGGCAGAACCTGCTGCAGGAGGGGCTTTTGGGAAGGAAAAGCAGGGGTGAGAGGCTCTGCCATCAGCCTGGTTGCCAGGCAGTGTAGTTAGCTGATTGCCCAAAGCAACAATCACTAGCCACACAGCCAGGAAAACAGGTCTGGAACGCTGGCAGCAAAAATTTGGGAGCAGGAATCAGAGCCCCAGCAATGCTGAGGACACCAGGGAGCAGCAGCAATATTCAGGCAGTGAAATAAAACAAGAGCTGTGTTCCTTCCCACTGATCCACCTCATTTCCACTAAAAAACGTGAGGATAAAATTGATTTTTTGGGGTTTTTTTTTCTCCTGCAAATTTGCAGGTTTTGACTCCCATTCTGACTGGGCTGGTCTCAGCCTCACCGAGGCCTCTGTTCTCACAGTTCCCTCCATTTATTCTTGTGGAATAAATGGAATTAAGGCTTGTGGTGCAGCTGTCCCCATCCTTGGAGAAGCTGGGCTGCAGTGGAAAAGGCCTGAAAGAAGATGGAAACTCCTGCTGGAGCCCCAATTACTGACCTGGTTAATTAGTGTGTGTCACCATCAAGAGAACACAAATAAAGCAAACTCAGACTTTCAGCCTCTGCAATTATCTTTTTTTTATCCCTAATTTTAGTAGAGCACTCCCCATTTTTAAAGCAAATCTGGGTTTGGGAGCTGGAAGTGGACTGGAGTGGAAATAGCCTCAAAAAAAGATGGAAACTCCTACTGGAATCCCAATTACTGTTCTGGTTAATTAGTGTGCCCCACCATCAGCAGAACTCCCACAAATAAAGCAATCTCAGGCAAACCATTAAGCACAGAAATTGCATTTTCAGCCTGACTCTGCAATTACGATTTTTTTTATCCCTAATTTTAGTAGAGCATCCCCATTTTTAGTGGAGAGCTGGGTTTGGGAGCCAGGCCAGGCAGAGAATCTGCAGGAGGTGCTGAGCTCTGCAAGCCTTTCCTGCGAGTCAGCAATCCCCCCTTCCCCATCAATAATCCCACGAGGAATCCCATCCATCACCATCCATTAGTCTGCTCTGAACGCTGCCTGCAGCCAGCAGCAGCTCACTGAGGCTCCTGTTCTTTTTAATTTTTTAATTTTTTTTTTTTAATTCCTTGGAAGGTTGGACTTGATGGGTTTGGAGGGGTTTTCCAAGCAGGGATGAAAGCCAGGATTTGCAGCTTTGGGCAGCCAGAAAGATTCATTTAAAGCAGTAAATGGTTTCACACAAATATAGAACACTCTAAAAGCTTCCCATAAGTCTAAGAAAATTCAAATTAATGCAGTGGATAGAATAAGGACAATGTTCAGGTTATTGTCAGTCACGGATATTGCTTAGTGTTCAAATCCAGATTTCAGATTTGATTCAGGCATGGACAAATCCAAAGAGCAAACCTTGGAAATTGTATAAATATGGGAAAAGAATGTGGAAATTCCTCAAGCAAAGAGGATCCTGCAGGCTGGGGAACTCTGAAATTCCAGGCCAGGCACAGGAGGTAAATGAATTTAGGTGAGCTAAAAAAAGTTATTAAGGACAATTTTCTATATCAAAACCACAAGAAATAAGGCAGTGAGTCTGAATTCCTCAGTTTAATATGAAAGGAATCTTTACACCCTGGCTATTGTTTTGGGGTTTTTTTGGGTTTTTTGTTTCGTTTTTTTTTTCATTGTTGTCTCCAAGATTTTCACCCACTGAAACACAAAAACTCACTTTATAACCAAATTACCAAACTGGCTGCTCTGCTCCCTAAAAAGCTCTCAGAAACTGGATTTGAGCAATAAAGCAAGAATCCCATTTGGGGATTTTTATTACTATCAGCAGTGAAATACAGATTTACTGATTTAAAATGGTTTGGCTTGGCCTGGCCGGATGTTTATCAGGAGAATCAAATCCAGGAGTAAGAGGTCTGGATTCTATTAAGGCTTTTCTTTCCTCCTGCTGTAATTCCCAGGACACAAAGCAGAGACAAATGAGTTGAAGGTTAAGAACCAAATATCTGAATTAACACAATTTAATTCCTCAGTTGTGCAGAGTAGCGCTGAGATATTAAAGCTGATAAGTGCAGAGATTGGAGAAATAACCTGGAAAACAAGATTTCAAAAGGTACTTTCAGGAATGACGTCTTCATTTTGGACATAAAAGCCTTTTTTTTTCCTTCCTCCTTATTGAAGCTTTTCAGTTGGTTCCTATTAAGCACTTCCTCTTCTCAAAGTTTATTAAAATGCTGAACTAAGTCTGTCTGCTTGGCCCAAATTCTGGTTTTTATTTCCCTTGGTCTAAATACTCAGATTCTATTTAGGGGAAAAAGATGTCCTGGATAATAATATTATTATTATTATTATTATTATTATTATTATTATTTTCTTAATCATTATCATTATCATTTCTATTACTACAATAACTACTTTTTTATCCTGTACTTATACATATTTTTATAAGATTTAGAAATTAAAAGGCTGCTGCTGTTTTTTTAGACTTTTCTCCTTTTTTTCTGTATATTTCCCATTTTTCTTTTCTCAATAGTGGCCAAGAGAAGGAAATGGCAGCTTCACCATTTTTCAGAAGGAAGCTTCACCATTTTTTAATTTTGCTTTAATTCTGGCTGGAGTTCAGAAAGGCAGGGAACAGAGTGGTTGTGGAAGTATTTTTATTTTTCTGGAAAAGCCAGGAAACAAAGCCAGCAGCTTTCTAACCCTTCCCTCTGGAATTCCTGACTCCTGCCAGCCTGGAGCGAGCTGTTTTCATGGCATTTTAAAGGATTCTCCTCCCCTTAAAAATACCAATTTCAGAATCAGCTTCTCCCTCAGCACAATTCCCGTGCTGAGCTCCCCCTCCCGGGGCTTCCCTCAGGCACCGTGCGCTAAAAACGCCGAGATTTTGGAGGCAATCCCGGGATTTTGCACTTAAAGTGATCCTTGCGGTGATCCCTTCTGACTCAGAATAGCCAGGATATTTAGAATAGTCAAATTCTAGAATACAGATTCCAGAATAGTCAGATTCTAGCATATAGAGTCTCAGAATAGTCAGATTCTAGAATATAGAATATTGATTCTCAGAATAGTTAGATTATAGAATATAGATTCTCAGAATAGATTCTAGAATATAGATTCTCAGAGGAGTCAGATTCTAGAATAGAGAATATAGATTCCCAGAACAGTCAGATTCTAGAATATAGAATATTGATTCTCAGAATAGATTCTAGAATATAGATTCTCAGAGGAGTTAGATTTTAGAATATAGAATATAGATTCTCAGAACAGTCAGATTCTAGAATCTAGATTCTCATAATAGATTCTAGACTATAGATTCTCAGAATAGTCAGATTTTAGAATACAGAATATAGATTATCAGAACAGTTATATTCTAGAATATAAGAATATGGATTCTCAGAATAGATTCTAGATTATCAGAATAGTTAGATTCTAGAATATAGATTCTCAGAATAGTCAGATTTTGGAATATAGATTCTCAGAATGAGTTTAGAAACCCGGGATTGGGATGGATAAAACAGGTCAGTGTTTGGCTGGAGCGGCAGGAAACCATAAAGCTCATCCCGCTTCTCCCCAGCTGGGAAAGCAAAGGAAAAACCTTAAAAAAAAAAAAACAAAAAAAAAAAAAAAAAAAAAACCCAAACCAATCCGAAACGCCCAGCGCGGGGCTGGATCCGCCCGTGGGCGGCTCCTGGTGGGCAGGGGGTGGCAGGGGGATATAAACCGGGAGCGGGGGGATGCGGGCAGGGGGATGCGGGGCGCGGAGCCGGGGCAGGAGAGTGCTCAGCCCCGGGACAACGCCGGCTCCGCGGGGCCGCGGCTGAGGAGGAGGAGGGAGGAAGGAGGCGGGAAAAGGCAGGGGAGCCGCGGGGCCGCGGCTGAGGAGGAGGAGGAGGAGGAGGGAGGAAGGAGGCGGGAAGAGGCAGGGGAGGAAGGAAAGGAAAGGAGGGAGGAAGGAGGAGCTGTGGCTGTCCCGTCCCCGGCGGAGCGATGCTGGCGGCAGCAGCGCTGTGCGCGGCCGCGCTGGGCTGCGCGGCGGGGGCGCGGCTGCTCAGCGGTAAGAGGGGCTCGGCGTGGCCGGGGATCGCTGCGAGAGTGCCCGGGGACCCTCTTTACCCCGAAAAGATTCCCTCCGGCCCCGCCAGCGTCGCCCCTGTGGCTGCGGGGGTCGGGATGCGCGGGCGGCTGTCGCGACACGGGCAGGGATGCTCTGGCTTGGCGGCGGTGCGGGGGGAGGCTGGGTTCGCTCGTTCTGGAGGTTTTCTCCAACTTTCCCAGCTGATTTTCCCCGCTGCCCTGCCCTGGGGAGCTGGCTGGAGCCAGCGGCACATCCCGAGCGAGGATCAGGGGCAGCACAAGGAATCCTTTCAGCCTTGCTCAGAGCTGCGCGTTCCGGCTCCCGAACCCGGCCAGGAATCAGCTCCAGCTAATTTCCGTAGCTGAAAGTAGTGGCAAGCTGGCTGATAAGGCAGAGACTTTCTTCCTTTTTTTTTTTTCCCCTTTTTTCCCTTTTTTTTTTCTTTTTTTAATGCGGAGAAAACGTGTTTGTGGATCAGGGAAGAGCCTGAGAGCGGTTTTTGTGACGCTGTTTCTAGAGAGCTGCAGGTTTTTAATGACACTCTGCTGTCTGTGTTTTCCTTTTGCCTCTCCCAGCAGCAGTGGACATTTCCCTCAGAAGAGGTAAGGGGCTTTGCCTTTTTCTCCGGGTGTCAAATTCCCAAGAGAAGCACAGGCTATGCTAGAAATGTATTTTTAATAGTGCTGTCATAATAAAAATCCTGCTCCTATTGTAACCCCTGTGCAAAATGTTAGCAAACTCCATTTCTGGCTGTTTAACTGCTGAAAAATTCCAGTGTGAAAGGTGTTGGAACTCCCACTCCTACAGATCAACATAAAAGGATAAAGCAAAGCCAGCAATGATCCCATGGCAGGGTTTACAATGACCTGTCCTTGTATTATCTCATTTGTTCCAAGCACACCACAAGTGTTGCTGAATGTTTTCCTTCTGTAAAAAAAAAAACAAACATGTAGGTTAGCAGATTGTGCCTGCAAAGAAATATTTACTGAGCAAAACAAAACTGTTTGTTTCCACAGTCTAAATATTGGGACTGCTCTGCTGAAAAAAAACCACCCGAGTGCATCATTTTGGATGATGTGTCTTTTCACTTTGATCTTCCCTCGGAACCAAAATAATCTCTGCTGCTTGTGCATGAGACAGCCTGAAAACAGACATTGTTTACTCCCTGGGCAGGCAGAAACGCTGCAGAGCTGGAAATTGGGCTGTGGGAGCTCATCCTGTGATCCCCAGCACAGACACTGGAAATGAAAGAGTTTGAGGTTGGGTGTAAATAAGAAATTCTGTGTGGTGAGGCCCTGCTTGGCCAAAGCTGGGGATGTCCCATCCCTGGGAGTGCCCAGGGCCGGGCTGGACTGGGCTTGGAGCAGCCTGGGATGCTGGAAGGTGTCCCCATGAGATGGTTTTAAGGTCCTTTCCAACCCCAAATGTTCTGGGATTCTATGGCACTGCAATACCCATTAAACCATTGCATATAATATATATCTATATTATACCTATATTGCATAGAGATATAATATATATTATAGATACAGTATTTTATTGCATAGGTATATATTGCATGAAAGATAAATTCTTGCTATCTCTGCTTCTATAAGGAAATCTCTAATTTTGACCATTTAACTCCTTAAAAATAATCATCATTTTAAAAAGCCTCTTGGAACCCTTGCAAGAGAACTTTGCTTTTCAAGAGGTTGCATGCATCAGTTTGCTCTGGCACAGTGTTTCCTTGGGAGCTGGGAACTCCCAGGATCTGCAAATCCCAGAAAAATCCTGAGGGAGCTGAGAACAGCAGGACATGAAAGGACCAACCTAAACTTTGAGACTCAGTAACAAAAATTTGGAGATGCCATTTGCCAAGGCTTTCACCTGCGTTGTCTTTTCCATACAAACAGCCCAAAACTCACCCAAACTGATGTTTCACCCTCAATTTTTGTCCCGTTTAACGCCATTCCTGTACCGGTTCTCTCTCCCTCCCTGCAGGGCAGACGGTTTGCAGGCGTGGCACGCAGAAACCCTGCTACAAAATCGTTTATTTCCACGATGCCTCCCGCAGGAGCAGCTATGAGGAAGCTCACCTGGCCTGCAGGGCTGACGGGGGACATTTGCTCAGCATCGAGAGCCCGGCAGAGCAGAGGCTGATTGAATCCTTGATCAGGAGCCTGCTGGCTTCCGACGGAGACTTCTGGATAGGGCTGAGGAGGAGGAAGGAGGAGGAGGAGAACAGCACCGAGTGTCACAGCTTCTACTCCTGGTCAGATGGGAGCTCGTCCCGATTTCGGTGGGTACCTGGGAGTGGCACTGTGGGACTGGCAGGGCCCTCAGGAGTTCAGGATTTTGTCCAAGGGATCCAGGCAGTGATGTCCCAGCTGTCACTTGGGCTCCCTCTGTGTTGTATTTTCTGAGACCCCCGTCGTTGGAAGGAACGATGGGTCTGACTCCATGGTCTTAGAAGGTTAATTTGTTATTTTGTGATCTGTATTATATTAAAGAATACTGTGCTAAAGGATACAGAAAGGATAGGAACAGAAGGCTAAAAGATAATAATGAATTATTTTATGATCTGTATATTAAATTATATTATATATTATATAGTATTATATTAAAGAATACTGTGCTAAAGGATACAGAAAGGATAGGAACAGAAGGCTAAAAGATAATAATGAATTATTTTATAAATTATATTATATATGATATAGTATTATATTAAAGAATGCTATACTAAAGAATACAGAAAGGATATGAACAGAAGGCTAAAAGATAATAATGAATTATTTTATAAATTATATTATATATGATATAGTATTATATTAAAGAATGCTATACTAAAGAATACAGAAAGGATATGAACAGAAGGCTAAAAGATAATAATGAATTATTTTATAAATTATATTATATATGATATAGTATTATATTAAAGAATGCTATACTAAAGAATACAGAAAGGATATGAACAGAAGGCTAAAAGATAATAATGAATTATTTTATAAATTATATTATATATGATATAGTATTATATTAAAGAATGCTATACTAAAGAATACAGAAAGGATATGAACAGAAGGCTAAAAGATAATAATGAATTATTTTATAAATTATATTATATATGATATAGTATTATATTAAAGAATGCTATACTAAAGAATACAGAAAGGATATGAACAGAAGGCTAAAAGATAATAATGAATTATTTTATAAATTATATTATATATGATATAGTATTATATTAAAGAATGCTATACTAAAGAATACAGAAAGGATATGAACAGAAGGCTAAAAGATAATAATGAATTATTTTATAAATTATATTATATATGATATAGTATTATATTAAAGAATGCTATACTAAAGAATACAGAAAGGATATGAACAGAAGGCTAAAAGATAATAATGAATTATTTTATAAATTATATTATATATGATATAGTATTATATTAAAGAATGCTATACTAAAGAATACAGAAAGGATATGAACAGAAGGCTAAAAGATAATAATGAAAAGCTCATGGTTCTCTTCTCAGAGTCCAACACAACTTAGCCCCAGCTGGTCATTAAGTCAAAACAATTCACATGAATCCAATGAAACAATGTCCAACCACATTCCAAGGCAGCAAAACACAGGAGAAGCAAATCAGATAATATTGTTTTCATTTTTCTCGGAGGCTCCTCAGCTTCCCAGAGGAAAAATCCTGGGCGAAGGGATTTTTCAGGAAATATGACAGTGACACTTCTGCACCCATCCCATCACCCTCCTGCTGGTGCTCCGTGGGAGTGGCTGCTTTAGGCTGAATTGGTCATTTTTGGGGGCTAAAAGGAGGGGAAACAACGAGTGGTGCAGCCTTAAAAATCTCTCATTAGGCAGCTACAAATGACCTGAAGATTCCTGCACTGCAGATCTCATAAAGTTTATGCCTGCTGTCCTGAAAAATGAAAAATTTTATTCCCTTACTGAAGATTCCTGCACTGCAGATCCCCTGAAGTTTATGCCTGATGTCCTGAGTAATGAAAAATGTGATTCCTTTACTGAGGGAATCACATTTTTTCCTGTGAGACAGCGAAGTATTAGAGCTGCAGTATTTATTGCAGCCATGGAAAACTGAAGTCTTCACAGCACTTTTTAGATTTCTGCCTCCTTGTCTTAAGGAACCACAGGCTTGGCTATAATTAAATTATAAAAGCAGCAACATTGACACCAATTTGCATCCTTATATCAGACATGTAAAAAACACCTTGGAATTGTGACCTTTTTGGCCTAGGAGCCCATAAGGCATTTCAGTCACTCAGAAATGAACAAATAAAAGCAGGTTTTAGCATTATTTGATATTTTAAAGTCTCTCCTGTGGTTCAGACATTGGGGGTGGAACCAGAATCTGCTGCTAAGAAACAGGCACAGCTTTCCTGCCTTCCATTGGTGAGACACTCTTCTTTCTGCTGAATTATAAAGCCAAGGAAAACACCAGGGGAGGAAGGAAGTGAGGGAGGAATAAAGCATTGGAATGGTTGGAAAAACACCACTTAAAATGGGTGTCCTCCCATGCTGATTACCCCGGGATATCTGGAATTATTTATGTCCTGTGGATCAGCTCACAGCAAATTCTTGGCAGGCAGAACATTCAGAATCAGCGGGGATTGAAAATTGGCAAAATCGGGGCACTTTTAGAGGTGTTTTCTGAGTTGCATAAAACATCTCCTCACCAACAGTGATTTTTACAGAGCTGCCTCCTTCCTGTGCTCTGCTTGGAAAAGCAGCACAGGTGGCTGGTGGTGAGGTTTATTCTTAGAAAACAAAACAAAAAAATTATCTGCAAGGCTGTGGTGGTGCATTTCTGACAGAGGAAGCCGAAGCAGCACAGGTGGCTGGTGGTGAGGTTTATTCTTAGAAAACAAAACAAAGCAAAAAAAAATTATCTGCATGGCTGTGGTGGTGCGTTTCTGACAGAGGAAGCCAGGTTTTGCTGCAGATTTTTCATTTTTTTTCATTAAATAGGTGCCAAAATTTTGCAGGCGCTGAGACCGAGAGAGCGAAAATGATGATTTTGCACAGGTTTGAAATTGTGTGGAGAAACAACTCTGCAAGGCTCAGTGAACTCAGGAGAACTTGGACTTTCTCTACACAATTGCAGCTGATTTTGAGCTACTTTAGTGTTCAAGAAAGGACCTTGTCTACAAGAAAATAGTGAATTCTAAACCACGTTCTTAAGATGTACGCAGGGACCGGAACTGAATCCTCATTTCTGGTTTATTCCACGGTCTCCGTGTTCATTGCCACTATGTTTAAGAAATAAATCTGTTTAAAAATAGTTATAAAATCTGTTAGTTGTGCTAGCTGAGATCTTTTGGTAATGCTGACGGGGGCAGGAAGGAGGGAAGGGGAATTGCGAGGAGCTCAGCCCTTCGCTCGCTGATATTTGTCGCTTGCGGAGCTTGAAAAATCTGAATTAAAACAACAAATAACTGCATTTCATCCCTCCCATTTTCCCCGCTGGAAGCACAGGGTGTGCCATAACCCCTGGAATTCTGCTTTTTTTCCCCCTCCAAGCTGCTGGAAGGTGGTTTTTTTTTTTGTGTGTTTCCCCAGGAACTGGTACGCGGACGAGCCGTCGTGCGGGGGCGAGGTGTGCGTGGTGCTCTACCACCAACCCTCTGCCCCGCCCGGCCTGGGGGGGCCCTACATGTTCCAGTGGAACGATGACAGGTGCACCATGAAGAACAACTTCATCTGCAAATATTCCCTGGGTGAGGAGGCTCCCTGGGATTCCAGCCCCGGGAGGAGGAAGGAGGAGTGCGGTGATGGGGAAATCCAGAGGGGTTTGAGAGCCGGCCTGCAGGCAAAGCTGAATTAATAGAAGAAATTGCATTGATTATTAAATAACAGCTGATTATTAAATAACAATTGATGATTTTCAAGTCTGTCTGTACCAAGGAAGGAGACAAGGCCATCAGCATGGGAACAGATTAGAAAAGATACGTGAAAATGTTTGTGAGCTAGACTACGTGCCTAAGTAAATGTGTATACATTCCTCATTAAACTTCTGTCTTTTACCAATTATATTGGCCCTAATTGCTTCTCACCAATGAAAATAATAAGTTCTTGTGGTGTAGTTGTCTTAATGTAGTTAGCTTAATGATCATGTTTTTTTAAAGGTATATAAGTTAGAGAACATGCAGAATAAAAACTTTTTCTCCTTAGATACTGACCACGTGTGTGTGTGTGTATATCAGGGCCAGCCTAACAGGGAAAGGAAACCCTCCCTCAGTTTTTAATTCGTGCAGCAAATGAGGAAAAAATCCCAGTATCTGTAGCTGCTTGTGGTTGGCATAAATTCCCTGATGGTTTTTGTGAGGGGTTTGAGGTCTCAGACTGGGGGAGAGCAGTGCTCAGGTAGGAAATTGTGCATTTCACTCACGAGCAAATTCTGCATTTCTCTTTTCTTCCAGAGAAGCCAACAAGAGCTCCAATAGACAATTCCCGAAGAGGTGAGTTGGACAGATTTGTTTGGGATTTTCCTTTGTTTTTTTAAATTACTGCTGACTCCCAGTAGAAATACTCTGCCATTCGTTGTCAAGGACACCCAAAAAACACCCTGAGCAAGGAGCTCCCCTGCAGTTTGCACTTCCCCTGTGCTGTCCCGTGATAAATCCTGCAGGGAAAATCCTGCAGGGAAAATCCTGCTGGGAAAATCCTGCTGCTGGTGATGCTGCAGGGATTGAAGTGCAAGAGTCCCAGTGCACCTCGCACATCTTTGCAGCTCCCAGCCTCTTCAAACTCCTCTCAGCATCACTTTTTTTATTATTTAAAAAAAAAAAATCTGCAGAATTAATGAAGCTGCTTCTTTCCAGCTGTGGCAACAGAGCCCTGGAAGGCAAAATTCCCAGAGGAACGCTGGAGGAAAGGTGCCAATGGAACAGCTGGGGGAGCCAAAGGTGAGTTGTGCTCTCAAAAATTCATTTCAAGTGTTTGGCTCAAAACGTGGAGGACTGAATGTAGAAAACAGCCTCTGGGGAAAAAAAACTTCCCTCAGTATTTCCCAGGACAGAATAAGGAGGTTGCTCTGGTTGTAAAATGTTCAAAATGCTTATATTATTATTATTGTGAATTTTATTATTGTATTTATTGTGAATGTAATAATGAATATTATTATAGTGAATTTTATTATTATATTTAATGTGAATCCAAAGCAAAGTATTTTGGGTGTGAAAAAGCCACTTTTATTATTTATTTATTTCTTGTGAATGATATTATTATATTTATTGTGACTATTATATAATTAATATTATAATATTGTTTTTATTATTACATTTTTTGTGAATGTAATAATGAATATTATTATTGTGCATTTTATTGTTCTATTTATTGTGAATGCTTTGTTTCTACATCTGTGATTAACCATGAAAAACTTGCAATTTCTTCTCATGACCCCAGAACCTGTTCAGGGCCTTGCCTTCATCCTCATTTCCAGCATTCCTGTGCTGCTTCTCCTGATGGCCATCACAGGCATCTCCTGCTTTTGGCTGTCCATGAGGAGGTGAGTGGCACTTTTGTGTTCTGAATTAGCCGTGACACCTCGTCCTGCTCACACCTCATTTCCCCATCCTGTAAAAAGCTCTGCACAGGAACGTTTGCAGCCAAAGAAATGCTGGAAAAGTGGTGTTGATGCTCCAGGCTGAGTCAGTTGGGAAGGAAAATTCTCAGTAAATCACTTTATATTCTTTTCTTGCATTCACAGACATAGCAGGCAGGAAAAAATGTCACCAAGATTACGATTTTGATGTGTTAACCCTTCTACTTTTCTTATTCAAGCTTTGAATTATCAGAAGTTCCCCTTCAAAAGCGAAAAATGCAGCAATGGAAACAAAAGGAGAACAATTTGGGGCAGAGAATGTTTAGCAATGTCCTCTCCCTGCTTTCCCTGCGTGCCCAGCAGCTCGGGGGGAATGCTGGCTGGGATTTTGGGAGTGTCAGAGGAGTTTTGCTACCCTGAGCTCAGCAGGTCCTGCCCTGGGGTTTCCCAGGAGAGCAGCCTGGAATAAGAAATGCCCTGAGCCCAGCTTGGCTCCAAGCTCATCCCTGTGAAAAACGCCAGTCACTTGTTTTTGAAATTTTAAAAAGTTTAATAGTAGTAATATAATCAGAATAATAAAGTTTGAACAATTGAGGTTAGGACAATATGAGACAATAAAAACAAAGAGCTGTGGAAGTCCGGGTACCTTTTTCTGGGCATCACGAGCCCGAAAAAGGACAGCCATTAACAGAGGATTGACCCTTAAAAACAATCGCCTGTTGCATATTCATACACCTCATACATGATGCATAAATTCCATTCAAACACAGGATTCTGTCTGGTCACTGTCAACTTCTTCCTCTTAATCCTCATGTCGTCTTCCTGTCTGACCGAGGTGGGAAGAAGTTAGTTTTCTGCTGATAAGGGAGCAATAAATTCCCTTTCTCTGAAAGATTTAGGTGTCCTGTGGCATCTATCCAGTGCAAGTCCTTTCTTAACCAAATATCTTACATAGCATAGTTGCTATTTTAAAATTATGTTATAACCTAAACCAGTATTTAATAGTTAATTTAACACTTAAGAAAATTAATCCAGCATAACTTTCTAACATAACACACACAATACTGATTTTAATACTTGCGAAAAGCCAATGATAAAACACACATTTTTCGCGTCCCCAAACCTCTGCCAGAGCTCTGCTGCTGGTCTGCCTTTCCCTCTGTGCTGCTTCATGGCTTCTCCCTCTCTCCCTGCCCTCCAGGAGACAGCAGCTGCTGGATGTGACCCCGAAGGGTGACGAGCCCTGGCTGCCCCAGCCCAGCCCCGAGCTGGACATCTACAGGGTGATCAACAAACAATCCGAAGCTGACCTGGCTGGGGCCAGGCCTGGCACCAAGAATTCCTCCTTCCGTGCCCACGAGGGGCTGCAGAGCCCCTGCAGGGACGCCGAGGACACCTCCAGCAGTGGCTTGGTGACGCTGGCCAGCGCGGAGAGCGGCTTTGTCACCAACGACATCTACGAGCTCTGCGGGGACCGTGTGGGCAGGAGCGAGGAGTCCAGCTGGGTGGACAATGAGATTTATGGATACTGAGGAAATGGACCCAAAAAAAAACCCACTGGAGTTTGGATTTCGGGTGTCGACACGGGTTGACTTGCCCTCTCTATGCACTTGTTTAATAATGGTGTGTGTGGTGTCTGGCCTGGTTTTGCATTGTGCCCTTGTTCTTCTATTTTCTGCAAGAATAGGGGTTTTTAAAGATCCAAACTGAAAAGATTTTGCTTTGCACCAAGCCCCCTTTGCCCCAGGAATGGCTTGTTAATACCCTCCATTCCTTTTTGTACCAAAGATATGCCTTGAAACTGAAGGACAATCCAAAATCCTTATTTATTTATAGACCTCCTCCTCCTCAAAGGTGCTAAAAGTTCCTGTGATGTTTGATCCTGCTTTCCTGGAGATGCTGAACATGGCAGGTGGGGAAGGAATCCCTTGGTTTGCTTTGCTTGTGTGTGAGACTTCCACTGTGCCTATTAAATTTCTTTATCCCAACCCATGAGTTTGTCCATTTTTACTCCTCCAGTTCTCTCCCTCATTCTGCTGGAAGGGACAGAGACCAAGAAGTGGAGGGGGAATGAATGACCAAGCAGGCAGGAACACAAATATTTCACACATTTTGTTCTGCAGGTGATTTTCTGGCTCCAGGAGAGCAGCACTGCTGCAGAACAGAACTGTGAAGCGCCTAAAATGTGTTTTGGTTGCCTAAAAGTTTGCTGTTCTCCATTGCACGTCAATAAATAAAAAGGAAAATGAAAAGAAAATAAAAATCATAAGCTAGGAGGAAACAAAGGTTTGGCAAAAAGGTGTTTTAAATGTGGCTGAAACAACAACAGGACTGAGTGCAGGCATAGCCATGAATCTCTTCTGCCAAAATAGGCAGGAAGAAGTTTTTAGATCTCTCTGAGCTGTTGCTGGCTGCTGCAAACACTGAAATATTCCAGTTGTCACAGCTGCTTCTCACTTCCTAAATGTCCCAGGTGCTGTGGCTGCAGTGTCACAGCGGCTGTTCCCCCACCAGGACATGGGGCAAATAAAGCCCTGAAAGGAGAAATCCCTTTAAAAAAATAAATAATCTTCTAACTGTTTTGAAAACAGCATCGAGTGGGCAACAATTTCACCTGAAAAGCAAAATCCTGGTACAGGAGATTGGTCAGGGCTGGGCACTCACAATATCTGGAATTTCTAATGCAGTAATTAATGCAAATCAAGCAAAAGTCTGTCCATTTTTAATCCTGTATTCCCGGTCTCCTTATTTTTTTTTTTTTCTTTTTGGCAGCTATTAAGCATCTTTTAGGCACTGAAAAAGAGGAAAGTGATGGGGAGAACTTGTCAGATGCTGGAGTTCAGCTGTGTAAAGCCGCATTTTGGCAGCCAAAGGTGTGATCCGACCTCTTGAGCCGCCCGTTGGGCTCTGGCAGAATTATTAAAGCGATGAAATTTTATAAATCCGGCAGTTTTGACACCTCCTTTGGGGCATCCCAGCTGCGGGAGGATTTGCGGGAGCGGCGACCACACGAGGGCATGTGCGCTCCACGTTCGTGTCCTGGAAAATCTGCTCAGCCCCGCTTTGGGAGGGGTTTGAATCCCATTTCCTTGGAGCAGAGCAAAAAGCATCAGCGGCCGCTGAAAGCTGCCCTGCAAAGGATTTTTAAATTTTTTTTTTAATTTTTTTTTGTGGGTGCAGTTCCTCTCGCTGCGTTTTTAAGCCGTGTTTTTGTGACCTGAACTTTCCGGCTTTGTGGTGGGGTTTCTGCAGGAGTTTTCTCTTCCGAGCACCAAAATCTGGCTCAATCATTCATTCAGGATGAAGATCAAAAGTGAGCAGGAAGCAAATAAACGTTTGCAGGCTAAAAAACTTCATTTAGGCTGACGTGACTGAGAAGGAGCATTAGGTAACATTCTGTAGGGGAAAAAAGTCACTTTTGACTTTGGATGGGAAGAAAAGGTGAAAGAGGAGTGAAATTTGGCAAGTGGCAGCTCGGGATGACACCATTTGCTATTCAAAGAGGATTCTGGAAGGCTCTCTCACGTACCCATCAATCACTGAAAGGGTGGATGGCTGACTAACCCGAGCCATCAGTTACTCACTGCCAGAACTTCTGCAGGGGATAAATAGAGCAGCAGCAGCTCCCCGATTCTCCATGGCAGCCCGAGCCAGCAGCGTCATCCCCAAATGTCACTCCTTGGAGGAATCTCATCAGCAGTGAAGGACAAGCATTCATTTCTGCACGGAGATCTTGAACAGTCATCGCTGCTCGACACGGAACAAAAGTAACTTTTCACAAGGATGAGGCAGCTTTACGTGTAAAACCTGTCTAAAAAGGGAAAGAGCGACACAACTTTGTTCCTTGCATTCCTCCACTCTTTTTCTTTTCTTTTTTTTTTCGTGTCTAGGCTCTGTTTTGAGCTGTTTGTGTCCACTCTGCGTGTTCACAAAGCTCTGTGGCTGATTCAACAGGCACGTGCTGTGCCATCAGCTTTGGGATGAGCCTTGTTTAGTCAGGGGAGCTCAGCAAAGATCCCAGGGGTGATTCCTGCTTCCCAAATGCCAGGAAGGCAGCAGTCCTCCAGCCTGGGATGGAGCAGGGGAGAGGGAGGGACAGGCATGAACTGGGGGAGCAAAGACTGTGGAGTTTTAAAATGTAAGTGCACACCCGAAGCAGAATCAGTGGACTCAGCACTGAAAAGGAAATTCAGCAGAAAGGGCCTTAAATTTCTTCAAACATTCTCAGCTCTGATGGTCCTCGGGCCATTTCAGGTCAAAGGGACCAAGAGAGCTTCCAAATCTGCCCTTCCGAATGTGCAGGAAACAAACGAGCAGAGTAATTCACTGAGAGAGGACCTGCAAAAATCACCCTGCGCACCTGCCTGGCCAGGACAGACAGCAGGGCTGGACAGACAGACACCTGGGCTGGACAGACAGACAGCAGGGCTGGACAGACACCTGGGCTGGACAGACACCTGGGGCTGCCTCATTCCTCTTCATCCAGAAACGATCTGGGCGTGTTTAGCTCACAGAGGCTGGCAGGATGTCACCAAGGCGTGCAAACCTCTCCAGAGGGGTCAGAGGATGGGGCCAGGCTCCGCTCAGCGTGACAGGACGAGGAGCAACGGCCAGAAATTAAAAAAAAAAAAAAAACAAGTTTTTTAAACTTGTCAGAACTTCCCATGGAGGGTGGCAGCGCTGCCCAGGGGCTGGAGACCCCCGAACCCCCCGGCCACTCTCCTGTGCCACCTGCCCCAGTGACCTGCCCGCTGCCAGGGCGCTGCTCTGCGCGATGCCAGCGCGGAGGGGTCGCTCCGGTGGCTCCCGAGCCGCGCCGTGGGGACACAGCTGGTGGCACTGGCGGCGTCACAGCGCGGATGTCGCTGTGTCCCCCGGGGTTGGTGGCACTGCCCTTAGCGCGGGTGCCCCGGGGCTGGTGGCACTGGCACTGTCCCAGCGCGGTGCCCCCCGGGGCTGGTGGCACTGGCATTGTCCCAGCGCGGTGCCGCGGTGTCCCCCAGGGTTGCTGGCCCTGTCCCCGCGCGGTGTCCCCCAGGGCTGGTGGCACTGTCACTGCCCCTGTCCCCTCGCGGTATCCCCCAGGGCTGGTGGCACTGTCATTGCCCCTGTCCCCGCTCGGTGTCCCCCAGGCTCGGTGCCCCTGTCCCCTCGCGGTGTCCCCCAGGGCTGGTGGCACTGTCCCCGCTCGGTGTCCCCCAGGGCTGGTGGCACTGTCACTGCCCCTGTCCCCGCTCGGTGTCCCCCAGGGCTGGTGGCCCTGTCCCCGCTCGGTGTCCCCCAGGCTCGGTGCCCCTGTCCCCGCGCGGTGTCCCCCAGGGCTGGTGGCACTGTCACTGCCCCTGTCCCCTCGCGGTGTCCCCCAGGGCTGGTGGCACTGTCACTGCCCTGTCTCCTCTCGGTGTCCCCCAGGGCTGGTGGCACTGTCACTGCCCCTGTCCCCGCTCGGTGTCCCCCAGGGCTGGTGGCCCTGTCCCCGCCCGGTCCCCCTCGCGGTGTCCCCCTGTCCCGGCGGCGGGCTGGTGGCACTGTCACTGCCCCTGTCCCCGCTCGGTGTCCCCCAGGGCTGGTTGCACTGTCACTGCCCCTGTCCCCTCGCGGTGTCCCCCAGGGCTGGTTGCACTGTCACTGCCCCTGTCCCAGAGCGGTGTCCCCCAGGGCTGGTGGCCCTGTCACCGGCCCTGTCCCCTCGCGGTGTCCCCCAGGGCTGGTGCCCCTGTCCCCGCTCGGTGTCCCCCAGGGCTGGTGGCACTGTCCCCGCTCGGTGTCCCCCAGGGCTGGTGGCACTGTCCCCGCTCGGTGTCCCCGTGCCGGTGCCCCTGTCCCCTCGCGGTGTCCCCCAGGGCTGGTGGCCCTGTCACCGGCCCCGTCCCCGGCCCTGTCCCCGCGGCGGCGGCGGCGCGGGGCGGGCCGTGGCAGCCCGGTTGCCATGGCGATGCCCCGCCCGCGGTGACGCGCGCGGTGACGCCGGTCGGTGGCGGAGGGGGCGG